TTGTTATTGTTTTGAAAATGCGACCTCTAGCGGTGAAAACTTACACATTGTGCCTTTAAAAATACACTTCATATTGAAATGCATCAAAATATGGTAGTAAACCAGTTACATGCTTTAAACTTACAGCATATGTTTTTTTTTAATCAATTCAGTTGTAATTCTACTTCCTTAATTTCAAATTTGAATTCCAATCTTGTGTTCTGCTTGCTGCCTCAATTCAAATTTAGAATTGAACTGGAATTTAAAATGCATTTCATTTTTGAATGGATCACAACCCTGAATGTATTTAGGTTTTTTCCTTGGCTTTGTGTGTATAATGTAGCAGGTGTTCTGGCTCTGTTTGTGTTGTAGAATGTACTGTAACTGCAGTGGTCCTGGGTTCTCGCTCCACTCTGAGGTTGTAATGCCTTATATCAGTCACTATGGCTCTAAGGCTCAGATCGAGCACTATATTCCACAGATGACTGCTGGGAAATGCATCGGGGCCATCGCTATGACCGAACCTGGAGCCGGCAGGTGGGCTTAAGTGCAGGCATGACATTAAAGAATAAATGATACTTTTAAAGATACAAAGACACTGACTCCCAGGCTGCATCACATTTTAATGCTTGCAGTCATATTGTGATATATTCATTTGTTCCCTGTGTTGTCCTGGTTTACATCTTTAATTTTCTCTTTGAAGTGACCTTCAAGGAGTGAAGACATTTGCAAAAAAATATGGCACTGACTGGATTATTAATGGAAGCAAGGTATGGACAGTGGCTTCTGTGATGCAGATAATTTTTCAATCACTCAATCAATCAATCAATCAATCAATCAAACTATTCATATAGCACCTTGCAAACAAATCCATTGCAAGTATAAACAAGCGACTGACACAAAATACAAGAAATATAAAAAAAAACTCCCACAAAAATAGTTTATAATAAAAATTTTAAATGTTACAAATGTTGATAAAGATAAATAGAATAAAAATAAGTGATTATGGTAATAAATATAAAAGCCAGACTAAATAAGTATATAATTAAAATATACAAAATTAAAATCTGCGTAATGCCACTGTAACAACCAATAAAGTGAGAGATGCAGAAGATATAGATATTTTTAGTGCAAATTAAAATTATTTTTAATTTACATTTAAAAATATCTATCTTCTGCACATCTGTCTTCATTTGTTGTTACAGTGGCATTTCACATGATGGCTGAATGGGACATCATGCAATATTTTAATTCTGCTGTGTGGAACAGCTAAAAGAGAGGAACCCGAGGATCCGGGGGGCCTTCTTGCTTTATTGACCTAATGTGTGGTCTTGTTTTGGTTTTAGTTGGCACTCATGCGGCAGAACTTTGAGTTAATTGTTGATGATTTATTGTATTCTTTGGTAGACCAGAAAGGAGAGCATTACAGTAGTAGTCAAACCAGTTATTTATAAAAGCTTGCATCAGTCTCTCTGTGCTGCTCAGAGAAAGAAATGACCTCATTTTAGCAATATTCTTCAAATGATAAATGTTTGCTCCTTGACATGGGTAAAGTCCTAATATATTTAGTTTCACTCTGAAATACAGTTAGCAAGTGAGTCAATCAGTAGCATATACAAAGTAAAATGTAATGTTCTTCAAATCGATCCTTGAGGAACCCCACATGACACTTCATAGTGTGTGTCTGAGTTGAAATTTATAGATACAAAAAATACAAAACAAAACAAAAAAACCCTTTCTCAAAGATATGAGAAAGTGATAAAAAAAAAAAAACAATTCCATTGATGCCAACATGTTCACTTAAAGAATCTTGTATATCAGCGGCAGCAC